ACAAACGTAGTCTGCTGTTGATTGATTTGTAAAGTTGTATTTTGACGTAAGATGAATTGTATGTCGGATACAGTCATCACGTATATGTTCCTACCGCGACACACAATGATGCTAATTTATAGAAGCTACAGCATCTATTTAACCCATTAACGACTGCGCATTACACGTCGCGTTCGGGACCAACGAACCCTCAAAAGTGCGAAAAGGGTCGCCGCGGACGTCAGTGGGTTTCAAGCAGTTTTGCCTCAATCTTTAACATCTTATAAGTCTGGGATTTACTTTTCCAGTGTTTCTGACTGGGATTTACTCTTCCAATGTTCAAAGAATGGATGTTCTTAGCATTGTAATCTCACCTTCAATCGAAAAACACCCTATAGGGATTTGGAGCGATTAAAACTGCTAAGAAAAAGCTATAGTTTTTTTTTGCGATTTGTAAAAGCGTAATATTGCCTTAGAATTCTCTATGTTGTTTTAATGCTGTTTATTTTCATTCAAATTATATACGATGATCGCTGTTTAGTATAACTTTCAAATTTTTAAAAATTTGCCTTTATTGTAATTTTTTGGAACAAAACTATCTTTGAGGTCTTCTCTGTTGGTTACTTACTTTTTCAAACTTCGCACTAAAACAAAAAGTTTGTGGTTTTTTTCAACTTATGAGGCCCATCCTCGCTACGAATGTCTTGGATTTCGAAAAAAAGGCTCGACTCTATGCTAAAAAAGTGCTGCACGTCAAGTGTGTCAATTTAGATAACTCCGGCAAGTGCTTTTCCAATGTGCCAGCGAGCGGTACTTTAAGAATCGCGTTTTGCTGCAACCTTCTAGTTGATTTCTCTCTTAAACTATTCCAAACAGTGGCGCTATCATTTTTTCGCGGTGACTGTCATCTTCCTAAGCTAAGTCTTCTCTAAAGTGTCACGGTTTCATCGGAACATCTGTAGGATTTGCGTCAAAGCCGCTTGATGTGTCAATAGCAGGTGTTCAGTCAATCTTAGCGAAACTTCTGGATTTTAAACAGCATATGCATGCAACTAATTTATTGTAATGTATAAAAAACCTAAAGAATTT